TTCAACAATAGTCCAGAACAATCCAGATGCAACAACTATTAATTACAACAAAGAGGCTTATTGGCTGTCTGCCTGCATAAAAACTGCCCAACCTTGAAACTACGAGTAGTTAAACCTGAAAGGAGGAGAGAGGGTTGGTGGTGGGTAAAATTTCCACTGAATTTCCCAAGCAAAAATTTTTATACTACTCTGCCTCCTCTGAAAGACTGTGACAGAATGACTGACTTTTGCATGAGCCCACCAAATTATAGCGTCCCAACGCTCAGGTTCTTTTTCTGATTGGCCCAAATTTTAACTCAACCCATTTGCATACGGATACGTCAACCTAAAAAAAAAACTGGTATAAGCCTGCATAGATTACACTTTCAAGCGAAATGCCCGTCAGCGACTTGCCCACTGATTCACTTTCAACCAGGTCAAATGGCAGAAGTCATAGGTCAAACACTTGTTTATAGTCCTTCCATGCCAACAACAACGCCACACATATACCGAAAGTATGTAAGATGTTCGCTGCGTATAATAACTTTTATCAGTTATCTAATACTTTTGACTTTGTATTCCTGATAACACCTTTTATCTGATAAAAGGTGTTATCAGGAATACAAAGTCAAAAGTGGGAACACAGCAGTATACATCAGAAAAAGCAGTGGCCCTAGGATCGAGCCCCTGGGGTATGCCAGTTTTAACTGGCATTGATTCTGAAATCCTTCCCTTACAGTTCACAGACTGAGATCGATAACACATGTACGTGTACCTGTAGGATTCAAACCAGTTTATGATTTACAGACATATTTTTTTTAAGCAAAATCTCGTGATCTCCAGAGTCAAAGGCCTTGCTTAAGTCAATAAAAACTGAACCTGGTTTCCCATTATCAATGGCTCTTAAACAAGTTTTCCCCCAACTCATGCAAGGTACATGTACCTTCAGCAGAATGTAATGTGCGAAGACCAGATTGGCACTGATGTATCAAGTTATTATCGTCAAGGTTGTTACATATATACAGGGTATCCAAAAAAAACCCAAACCCTGATGACAGGGGTTAATATGCCCAAACTATGAGATATGATATTTTATCGACCTTAGCGATAAAATTCATTATACTCTAGGAAAAAAGACAACATGTTTGTGCCAAGTGTAGATTGTGTGTTGAAATTCGAAGGGTGCCTGTCATGTAATAGTAGTGTCTAGGTGAGATGGGGTGGAGCAGAACGAAGATCCAGAGATTTCCAATCATTGCGGGGGGCAACCCGCCAAATTCGTTGACCATTCAGCTCTATGGGTTTATTAGGTCAGTGCAAGTGAGCTGATCAGCAACATGCGTCGCTCATGCTTTGCCAGCCACTTTCGTCACAGCTTCGAGCGATCAAACCACATGGATTTTATCTTGTGTATCGTATTCCACACGGGCTACACCTGGCCACATGTTCCAGTGGTGGGAAATTTAGATTACATGATACTGTAAGTTACTGACTTATTACAGTTCTTAAAAGAAGTACCGGGTTACGTAAAAGTTTCTTCCTTTATGCTATGCATGGTGAACAGGTAGCCTTTCCACTAGTCATAGAGGAAATTTCTCTCTGAACAATTAAACTCCTCTGTAACAATGGGAAGAAAAAACCAGCATCTTCAACTACATGTACTTTCCTAACACACATATTATTTTTGAAAATTTTAAAATCGCTATGATTTTGGTAAGAGTGCACACTGGAGGTCATACTGGTATGCTCAACAATGATGGAGAAGTGCTCATTGAAAGAATTTGCAATATCCATGTAATCATTGAAGGAAACAATATTGCTGGGAGTTGAATAAGCCTGATAGGGGAGAAGCTCTTTTAATTTTTCCACAACAGAGTACTTTTATTTTTATTAGATTCAATTATAGTACTGTTATAATTTCCTAATTTCTTCTGACAAATATTCAAAGTGAGCCTATTGTGCAATATTTTATACACGTAGTTGTAGTGTGTGCACAATCAAAGAGTGTACCTGATCTTTTGGTGATTTTTATGTGCATAATCATGCTCTCGCATAAGATAAATAATTTCATTATCCACCCAGGGTAGAGGGCACTTACGAATGCATTTAGACATGTTAGATAGAGTAGGGGCATGCCAATCTACATGCATAACACTCATAAAAATCGCATACCAGATGGACCATGCATCATTGACCTCGTCACAATTAAAGAATTGTTACCATGATGCATCCATAAAATCAAGTGCAATAGTCTCATAATCAATATCCCTAATGGGTCTGAAATGAATAGTGGTATATGTACATTAAGATTTTGGCAGCTTCCATTTGTGTAGCACATACCACATAGGGGTAATGATTACTAAGAACTGTTTCTAAGATGCCACTCTCTACCACTTTTTCTGGATAAGTCGTGAAAATCAGGTCTATTGCTGTTTAGGTCGATTGGGTCACACAAGTGGGATTTTGTATGAGCTGAGTAAGCTGGGGAAGATCAAACAGGATATTATGGGGTCAAAGTCCATATTAACATTAAGAACATCACAATTTAAATCACCCATGATAATAACGTTACCTCATCTGAATCACGTATATGTGTACAGTATATATGGACTGAAAAGTTTTGTGATGGCAGCAATGGACAGTGCCTCAACTTCACGAGAAAGCCAGGTTGGTTGGAATCCACAAAGGTTTAAACTTAAGAAACCAGCTACATGTAGGTGCAAGGTGTAGTATTCTTAAAACATGTCCAAACTGGGACACCGTACATATACTTTGGAAAGCATTAAAGGTCAAGGGTCACGCACTCCTCGTGACTGCAGTACAGCCACCTAAAACAGCGTGTATGTCTCACTCTCTCATTCTAAGCTAAACGCCTTAGGATATCACACAAGGCACCATAAATGGGCGTGTGACATACGTGTACAGGGTGGCTGTTATGCCGTGATTCTTGACAACCGTGTCGGTGATAATCTGTAACTGGTCATCTGGGTGAGGTAAAGTAATCATACAGGCCTTAGAAAGAGAAGCCTGTGCCTCAGTTAAGGCAGCGCATGTGCCATCTGGCATCTGAAGGCAATCAGTTGACCGATGTCCACTCACGATGGCATCAAGGGCCATCATATGATGGAGGCGCAGTTAGGCAGGACACAGGCAAGAACTTTGTACATGTACATGTATGTCCTGATTAAGTAACACAGGCCTGCAACCTTCTTGATAGAGCATAAAGAGTGGCAACATGATGAGGACTAGCAGGGAGCGATCCTTTCAATTAAACCCATCTGGGTATGGTAGCTGCTTGGGGGCATATGATGGTCTTCTTTGCAGAAAGATGCAGGCCGCGCTTGTACAGGGTGTGCAGAACTCACCTCCACTTGTGTAACAGTTCCCTATGAGTGTTGCCATAGTGGTACAGGTCATCTGCGATCTAGGCCACCATGGCCTCCTTCGGCAGGTCCCCAAGATAGAACACGGTACATGAGCTCTTCCAGAGCAGGACAGAACCCTGGCACACCCCTTGCTGACCTGTTGTAGACTCTAACTATGCGGAGAGGGTGGCCACTCCACAGTCCTTCATGGAGTTTCGGGATAGAGGAATCTGGAAGAAAGCACTGGGGAGGTCAGTGGCAACGATGTGTTTCGAATGTGCAATTTGACATTACAGTGGAATTGACGTCAAGCGATAGAGGCAGCTATGGTTTGCTGTAGCGGCCAACAATGGCAAAGGTTGTGACTAATCTAAAGCCACCACTCGGCATCTTGACAAGAAAAGAGGGGTTGAGGTATTTGACTATGATTGATTTTGTCTTCTGGACGAGCAAAGATGCCATGGTGCAGTCCAATAATGATCACTGATGAACGAGGCGACAGCTCCAACTGTATGTATAACAACTGCACAGTCACAGAAAAAATTGTGTTCATTATATACTTGAAACAATGTTTGGAGCACCTTTCCCAGTCTTTGATGGTGAACGGCAGTTTCTGGATGCTGCTACCAGGGCAACAGCAATTCCTTGGACACACAATATAGCCGCAACTGTGAGTCCGCACAGAATAAACGTACATCCGCATAAACGTACAGCACAGTTTAATGCAGAAGGGCAACACACAAAGAATGAGTAAAACAAAAAGTCAAAGACTGGAGGTCACAGGTTGCCAATTCTAAAGGGCTTAAGTACATGTACAACTACTGGCGATGGGACTACAGTTTGATCTGTACATGGACACTTCCGTATCAGGACCAGCAATCTGCTAGGGATCTGTGGAGAACCAATTCGTCTTGACCAAGCAAGGTTTCCTATTCCCATATTACAACAGGAGTCACCTTGCGTCCCTAACTATGTCATCTACAGGTACTTTCGGCCTTTTGTTTGAGGTGAATTCACCCCACGCTCCAGCTTATTTGCTGTGTCAAAGAACTGTTTTTACCATCATTGGAGACAACTTTTATTGCAGAGCACGACCAAGTCCTCATCCAAAAGATCTCATTTACATCATGGCCGATCATTTCTTCCTTGTACCTGTACTAAAGCAAAGTCTAATCACTGGCCATCATTAAAACAAATCCAAGTGTTTAAGAGTCATTTCACATACATTGTAAATACCAGAAAATATTCTAAGATTCTTGGCAAATTGACCTCTCCAGCGGCAGAATAGGGCAAAAATATCATTTGCAAGCTCTTAAAAATATTTAAACGCAACCTGTAAAAATAGCACAAGGGTGACACTTACCTGTGAAGTGATGATCAAGCAGAAGCAAGGATAACAATATAATGTAGCTGTAGGTGGCTTTGTGTGAAACATTTGCACATTTGCAAATTCTAAAATTATTCTATGTTATTTCCCTATCCTGAGGCATGCAAACAGGGGTCAACTTTCAGGCTCTAAAAGGAACAACATACATATACATATCCATATGTGTACATGTACATGTAAGTTTGTATGCCCAGGTTCAGGTCTTAGTGCAACATACAGGTGGAAAAAAACATGTCTCTAAGTAATGATGAAGTTCATCAACCACAAACCTTGTCAAGGGTCTCCAACGTGACGGGATCAATCTTCCGAATCTCTTTGGTCTCTGTCATCACGTAACACTCATCTCCAATAGCCATCCAGTTGACATTACAATTGTCTGTGAACTGGCTAGGTTTAAATCGTGCCATGAAACGTCCAAAGATACCAAGACAGGGATCGGGATGAGCTGTAGTGCCAAACTCTGACATAACAATGCGATTCTGCTCCATGGCCTTGATATAAGCATCACTACGTTGGAAATTAGTCTGGTAGCTCACCTGCAAATGTAAAAAAGAAAACAAGGAAAGCAAACATACCAGAGTAACAGAGGTGAAAATGCTACACAGAAAATTCATGTGTAATGTAAAATTCAACTTCTAAGAAATACGTCTTCAAAAAACTGTATACTTTCCATTGTGCATTTTGTTGTTTATCAAACAACTTCAAAGATTTCTGTATCCAAAAGGCAAGCTGCGTTGATTCACCATTAAATGTGTTTTGACAGTTGATAGTTTTGATATAAAGTTACCATGCACGTATGCAAGTTTTATTTGGCATGAAAATCCTTCAAAATCCAGCACCTATACATACACGACATACATGTACCTTGCCATTTCTGATGTTATATCGGGTGAGCAGAGATAAACCATCAAACATGTGGTTGTATGAGTCTTTTCCAACTTCAAACTTGCCACCACCATTGCGAAGAAGACTACCATTGATCCATTTTGGAACTTCACCTACATGTAGATGAGACAGGAGGACAAAAGGTCAAGAAATCTGGAAGCTGCAACCAAAGTCTCTCATTGTTTGAGGACATACTGTACAATCCATCTCCTACTCTGCCCCCACCTATCCTCAAATTCATCTTACACCCCCCACCCATCATCAATTCATCTCTTATTCTTTCCCCCTTCACCCCAATCCGTTTCCTACCCCACCTCTTGAATGCACGTCTTGTACATGTACACATGTGTGTACTGCCTCATGTGTGCCAACAGTACAGAAGTACATGTTTATAATACTTGTGATTAAAATCCAAGATTCAGTAAACATGTAAACAAAACTTCAAAACAACGATCCAAATCAATATTCTAACACTGGTAAAACTCCAGATTGAAACCAAGCACAGGTGACACTTGCATGAACCAAAAAGCAAAAAAATAAATAATGTACAATGTACATGTTGATACGGGCCTGCCTGATGAAAGGACAGAGGGACAGTACATACATGTACATGTGATGCATTCCATAAACTTGAGTGCATTTGCTTTGCAGCTTGCAAAAAAATATACATATTTTTAGCTTCAACAGCTTGAGTACGTAACTCCAGCATTACCGTTTATGACACTGGGAAATCCCAACATTCTCAAAGTAATGAGCATTAGGAGTGAGGGGGGGTTTAGGCTGGATCCTATGGAACATGTACATGTAGCTAACCAAATTTCTCCATGTTATAAACCTTAACCTTTCTTTATAATGATTCTCTTCAGATACTTGTTCAGATGTATGGACACCATACCCAACTACATCTTTAAAGTGAGTCATGCAGATTAGCATTCCACTTCAAAAGTTAAAGAGTGCACTCAAATTAATCAGCCTAATTAATTTGTCCAACACAGATGTTATTTGGCTACATTTTCTGAAAGAATTTGATACCGGCCCATAAATATCACTATAGCCCTTTGGGGTTGTCTGATTGACCAGGGCTTCGCTTTGCCTCTTTAAATTTGGACACAATCACACATACAAAAGCAAACTAGCACTGAGAACTACACGAATCAAGGCCTACAATACCTACATTTTCAAAAGCAGACTTTTTCAAAGTTCTCTTTTCTAAATTTGTTTTTTAAAATGTGTTGTTTCCTGAAGTTGGTTTGAGTATGAGATTTATTTTTAGACACTCTGTATCTGTCAGGGGAGAAAAAATATACTCAATACATTTTTCAAGTTTGATGTTAGGAGTATTTTCCCAAATTTGTTTTCAGAGATTTATTTAAGTTTATTTGAAGATATAATACAAAAGATACAAAAGAAAATCCAATGTTAACTGACCACTGTCTATGACAAAAAAACACAATATCTGTAGCTTGGTCATTTCAACGTATCATAATTGGGAGTTCTCAGAACATGTACATGTACTCTCTGACTACAACTACATGTACCTCATGTAGGACTCAGGTTTTGGGCACACTATGGTAACAATACAGTTGTGAACTACTATTTATTAGGAAAAAAAGACAATACATGTACTTAACTTGCATTGTTATGTACGATATTGGAATTCTTAAACTTTGACAGACAATTACAGGTCTTGTCCAAAATTTCAAACATATTCATTTGATTCACACATGTAGTTTCGTTGTTTGGGGTTGTTTGCAACAAGATAGTGAAACGCAACGATAACAACTAGTTTTTGCATTATACATTTTGACTATGCAACATTCATCTTTATTCCGAAATTCACTTAATACAATGTATAACGATGTTAATATACATGTACATCATAGAGCTACAGTGTACAATTATACAGATATAGAGATACAAAAACTAGCACTCATGTACAAAGTGATGCTTGCTGGGTGTATTCATATTTGTGCACAAATGGATAACTCCAAGTTTGTATGGCATTTGTACAGCTTCAGTATCTGTGTCTGTATTCTTAACGGAACATCTACAAAGCCAATACACAACGTTATGAATGCACAATTATATAAATGAGCGTTTCATTTTGCTCTGCTCCAAAACAACAAACGTGTGCGCTCCACATGAATTTTGACATGACGTTTTTCAAATCAGATTTAAATGGTATCCGATGCACACGGCAGTCGCTGCTCTACCTCAACAGCTGTCAATTCATTAATCACTGACTGAATTTAGGGAATAACTTTTTAATTTAGCTGAACTTATTCATCGAATGACAGCCATCGAAAGACATGCATACGAAATCGGACGACCTTTCTCGAATGTTAGGGAATGGTTCGCTTTAAAATATATAAATTAATGTGCGCCATTGTGCCTCTGCAGGTGTGTCTTATTCAGAAGATGAACTCACATTCGCAAATGTTGCACTTGTGCGTTGCATTCAGAATACATAATTTGATTATGATTTCGAATGTTATACAAGCACGCACATGGATTCAAAATATTTGCACCCAGGACAGCGTCATATTTTCTCTGTGCAGAGAATGAGAAGTTAGCGCTCTAGTTTTTTATATATACACGTTGTAGCTGCAGGGTAATTACATGGTAAAAAGGGTTGTTCAAGTGCTTTAGCTTTGTTACTCATACTAAATCTCCCCTCACCAACCTAAAGTGGGAGGAGATTACCAATAGGCCTACCTATGCATTATTTCCTAGTCCAATACTTCCATTCACTAAATTTTTGATCACATGTACACGGTCACGTGAACTTATTGAACATGTGTCAATGTATCAGAAATGGCAGTATGGACCATATATAAACTGGTCATTTGTCCACAGTGGGCGCATCTATTCCGATATGTCCGCCATCAGCAATAGATAGAGCTTTAATTTCGCAGCCTCGGCGAGCAGTGACAAAAGTTAGAAGACAGGCCAGCTTAATACCTCCATGTATATGGAAGTCAAGAAAGGAGACGTGTCCCACAGGCTCGAATGAGGGGCAAGCCAAAAGTCGAAGGACACCACCCAAACTCCACAAAGGAACGAGCCTGCATTAAGATTATGAAATCATGTGAGAGCAAGGATAGCATTGTACTGTTATGAGAGGAGTGCACATTGCTGGTTTTTTCAGTTACTTCAAGAGAAAATGACAGCACTGTCCATTCCTGTTCTAAGCCTTGCTCAGGTTTGTCCCATATGATACTCACATGGGACCATGTGTCCATGTTTTTCCCATGTGCATGTGCATCACCCATGTGCATCGGCTGAGGTATTTCCCATGTGGGTGTGCCCATGTTGGTCCCATATAATACCCATGCGATGCTGCCCAGGTATATCCCATATCATGGGCAGGCCCACATAGTTCCTATGTGGGTGTGCCCATGTTTTTCCTATATGACACCCATATGGGTCAGCCCATGTGGAATCTCATATGGGGTTTCCCAGGATTGACCCATATGACACCAAAATGGGTCAGCCCATGTAGATCTTGATATGGGAAATCCCATATGGGCCCTATAAGGGATAGGCATGGGTTATCCCCGGCCTTTCCCAGATGACCCACGTCACCCAGGTTTTTCCCATATGGGCCGCATATAGGCTTGCCACCTGAGGAATTGTCCATAATTCTTACAAATTGTCAACTGTATAGCAGTCTGACCCTTCTTCCTTTGAGGTCATCTGCCAGCCTGTCTTCGCCCTGGCCCAATAGTCAGGTCCGGTTTCGGCCAACGCCCGGTTCAGATAACCCGGCGCTACACCATAGCTCAGAGCCTCCCTTTCACTGCCTAGACGATTCCTTGCTTACAAGGCTTGAGCAGTTTGCCTGGGTATCTTCATGCTACAGCTTCAAGTAGGGAATCGGTTATTCTGGCTGTGAATATTCCCCATGAGTCAGTTTCTGACATCAAGAGTCTTTCCTGTTTGCTAAAAATATCTGTGAGGTTCAGTTTACTTCTTTTCTCGAAAGTGGGGTCAAGTGGATTGACAGTACGTACTTGGAAGATCTCCTTTTGTAAGCCTTCCGACTCAAGTCCTCGTGTTCCTCCAAGGCCTCCACACGCTCTGCTCCTCCAGAGCTTGTCCTACAGGGACTCCTAAACATGCTTGTCGGCCTTTGCAATCCCCCTGGGAACTGTCACACTCTTTGGCTCCGGCTTCCTCCAGTGTGGTGTCATCTGCCGCCCCCACGGTTTTTCGGGGGTTTGCGTTGGTGACTGTTCCACCCCTTCTTAGGTTGTCAATCCCAAACCCATTGGTCTGCCGTCTTCTTACTTCAGCAGGGTTCTAGGGGAAATATGTCGGACGAATGGGGTCCTCGACACTCCTCTACCTGCTGAATTAATTCATCTGCCCCAGGCAGTTCCGGATGAAGACCCTTACACGCTGTTCTTCACTCAATTTCCACTCCAGCTTGGGCGGTTAGGCCTCAAGGATGCCTACCTCTACGTACATGTACCCATTCATCCCGACGATCGCCGGTTCCTGTGCTTCTCGTATCAGGGTCAGAGGTATGAGTTTCGTGCTTTCCTGTTTGGTCTTTCCACTGCTATGAGAGTGTTCACCAGTGTGGTCCAAGCGGTGGGGGCTTATCTTCATTGCTCAAATATCCTCATCTTTCAGTACCTCGACAATTGGTTAATCCTGTGTTGCTCAAGAGTTGAGGCTGTTCCAGCTACGGTGATGGTGTGCGCTCTTACAACCCATCTTGGGTTTCTAATCAACCACAAGAAGTCAATAACAACTCATTTGCAGATGGCCACATTTCTTGGAGCTGTTCTCGATCTCTTCCACGGCATGGTATTTGTTATGGATGCCTACATGTGTGGACAATCAGATAAAGTGTGTTGCCCTACTTTGATTTTGTCAACAGATAAACGCTCGGGCTTGGCTACAACTTCTTGGTCTCATGGCCAGTCTTGTTGACCTTGTCCCTCCGTGCCGACTCTGCATGAGACCTTTCCAACTTCACTTGTGTCCCACTTCTGACCGCGCACAGATTCTCTGGACCTTCACATTCTAAGTCACCACCTAACACTGTGGTCTTCCAAGACCAATCTCTCCAGCGGCCTTCCTTTTGCTCCTCTGGGTCAGGACG